TATTTTGTTAACCCAAGCCTCGAGTTGGCGCCTTTGTTTACAGGATTGCGGGAAATATCTATACGATTTGTCCACATGCAATAATCCATTTGTAAACACATCACGATGTGCAGTGCTAGAGCAATTAAGACTTCATTGAAAGAGCCGCACCTGCTATTGTTTCACTTCCTTGTTTATTTACGCGGTAGCTGCCAAATGCGATGACTTTTGTCATTACAGACTTTTAAGACGACGACAACGAGGACGAGATTTTTCCAATTCTAAATAGTCCGCGCGAGGGAACCAGCGTCATTTTGGCGGGAAAACGTGATAGCGGTAGTCATTCTACCACGAGTTTTAGCGAGAATGTCGAAGTGGCAGCGATAAGAAGTTTTATCATTTTGCGATCGGCAGAAGGTTTAACCTCTTTCATTAAAAATAAGTGCGCCAACTTTGCTGGTGAAACAAAGAACAATGAAGATTTCCTTGGGTGCATAGTTTTGGAGAATACGCGATAAAACTTTCGTCCTCGAATCTAAGGGTCTCTAGTATCGTTATTTTTTTGTACAAAATTATATTTTTAGGGCCTTTATAATTGGCGTCAGCTATATCAGAACAGGTGACATTTCAAGGACCTTACAGAATTTCGGCAGACTTCTTAAAGCCCAAACAGTTATGTAAGCGATTCGGTGCAAATTAGGCCTTTTTTAATATTGCCACTGCATAACTTGTAATTCAGGTATGACGCCGGTTTTCTTTAGTTTTACTTCTTATTTGTGACCAGGGATTTTTTTATCGAGTAAGGAAGTAAATCATTGCGATTTATAATATATAATTTACTGACTGATGGGTTTGATAATTCTCTGATTGTAAAATTTATTGTCCCTGTATGTCCCTGAGTCAATAATTTTGTAATAAAACGCTAGACATAGAGGAACCTGTCTTGGAAATTTTCGTACTGTTATTTCAGGTAAAATTTTTTCGTCTATCATCACTACTTGTTGGTTGCCTGTGGCATAGGCCAATCAAAAAATGCAGACAAAATGACCAACACGTGTCCCGTCCCCCTCCCCTGCGTTGGGCTGATCCAACTTTTGATGGTAGTGGTGTGTCATTCAGATGAAAAACAACAGTCTTGTGTAGCGTAAGAGAAATAAACAAATAAAGTACAGTATGTTTTTAACATGTCAAATACTTCAACACTACCTTAAGCAAACAACTAAGAAGAAACTTTACTTCATATAATACAAAGTGGAAACTACTTCACTATGAAACAACAACCTCTTCGAATATGTCGCAATAGATTCATGCAAAATTTAGACTTGACGATAAATTTACAGGAAAGAAAAAAAGGTAATTACAATAAATTTATGAAGTCACTTGAATGAGATCTGTATTAGTCTTCTCGATCCCAGTGCTAATATGGAAGACCACATTAAAAAAATATCCAGGACATGTCATTTCCATTTAAGGTGGCTCGACTGGATTTTTTTGGGGGAATACCTACCAAGTTTGAGCATTAATTGCGTCCCCATGAGTAAAGATATGGAAAAAAGGTTCCCACAACTGTATTACATAAAGATGAAAATTTCTTATGATTTGGGTTTTATTGCCATCGGAGTCGCCATCACGTTTTTTATTTATCTTTGTGTTTCTCTGTACCAGGAGTTTTTTAAAGAAATCGCTCGAGGGAGTTTGTACCTGCCATAATTGCCTCAATTATGGCAAAGTTTGAACAAATTCTATGAGAGCATTTGCGTAATATTTGTAGGCATGGACCAAATTAAGTGCAAAAACTGTAACAAAAGCAGCTGAATGCAAGTTACTAAAATTCTTCTTACAGGCGATCGCCCAGAGGAATTTCCCTCTTTTTTTGTACACAGTTTTCAATGGAATCAAACTACTATGAGGTGAAGCCGCGTTTCTAAAGCATATCATTTTCTTAAAAAAT